ATTTCTTTTCCAACACAGTCGCCACAGTCAACAAATCAAATTTGCGTTTAGTAGAACCAATTACTTATGTATTTTTAACTTTAATAATTAATATTAATCAATTTTATATTTAATAAAATTTTCCGTGTTTGTTCATTGGCAAATTTTTACGATATTTTCATTTTCGCTAATTTGGTAGGTATACGGACATTTTTAAATTGTAATATTTTGTATACTCATAACATGTATAAAACTGTAAGTATCGTAAAAAATTCGGTACACGTGTCGTATGCTAACTACAGCGGATGTATTGGTGTTGTATGCTATCTATATTAATAAAAGTTATCTACACATTTTATCATTCTATATTTTAATACATTAACAACTTGTTACGATTGTATTCGTATATGCTTCGTTATAAAAAATAGTGATTTGGGAGATTTATATAATATAATCATTTGTTATGTTATGTGAACGATAAACTGTTTTTGACTAAACATTTTACTTTTTAGTAATTATAATGTACCGGTGTTTTGAATATGTAATTATTATTTACAGATTCATTAAAATTTTTTTTTTTTTCATTAATTAACCAGTGGCAACTTAGGCCATTGGAGGAGTTTTTAACTGTGGGGGAGGGTAATGTAGGTTTTAAACATGTGTGTTTTTAGTTTGGTAGAATTTTCAAGTGGGCACCCGTTGGTAAAACCATGCCCGGCCTCTCTCTCCAGACAGTGACTGCCCGAAGAGAAGTGCCGCTCGTGGCCGAGGTTCGAACCGGTGACAGTGCTCGTCGCAACCGACGCCTTAGTCCGTTCGGCCACTCCGTCCCCCATGTCATTTAAACTGTCTTAGGATTTTAATTTTCACATTTATCGTTTATTTGATTCTTTTCAATATTTCCATATGCTTATGTAAATATTTTCACTATTATAATAATAATATTATGTTAAAATAATTTTACAGATATATGTTGAAACTGTAATGTGTGTATTAATAATGAAAGAGTTGATAATTGGAAATGATTGTAATGTTTTCAAACAAAATAGTATGTATAATAAATATAATATGTTACTTATATGAAATTGTTTATACATAAAAATCCATTTTTACCCATTCTTGATTTGCAAGCTCTAAGTGTCTTCGTATTTAGTAATTATTTAAAAATTTTTTTTTTTTTTTTTTTTTTTTTATTAGATAAAATAGAATATTTACAATCTGTAATTTTATATATACAATGAGTAAATTTGGTAATGAAAGAATACAACAACATGAATGGCTTGAGGAGGGAGGCCCACCAGTGTGGATACCCTCTAGCTTGGGGGAGAGGTTTTATTATTTATTATTATTTTTTTTTTTTTTTTTTTTTTTTTTTTATATTAGTGCTGGTCGGGATTCAGGAGATCGCGACACCAGTGTCTTTTTAATCGACGTGGAGGGTTGTTAGGCATGAATTCACTGGCCAAGTTGGAAATCAGTGGATTTGTGTGGTTAGCTGTTTTGGTGTGTAAATTTTTGTAGTAGTTTTTGGCTGTTTTAGAGACTGTTTCAATTTTAAGATCCTTATGTAGTGAGAGGTTTGAGACGTACCATGGCGCAGATGTTATTAGGCGAAGGGAAATAGACTGGAAGGCTTGTATAGTCCGTATTTGGGAAGGCTTGGCACATCCCCATATTTGGATGCCGTAGGCCCAGATAGGTTTTAACATAGATTTGTATATTAGTAATTTGTTATCAATAGAGAGTTTGGACTTGAGAATAGGCCGTAAAAGATGAAGTCTGGAGTTAAGAGTCTTTCTTTTGATTTTGAGGTGTGGGCCCCAAGTTAGACGCTTGTCTAAAATTAAACCTAAGTATTTGGTTTGAGTTGTGGTTTGGATTGGATTGTTTTGAAAATAGATATTAGGAAGAACAGGTTTTCTCAAAGTAAAAGGAATGTGAAAGGACTTGTCTGAATTGATTTTTATTCTCCATTTGGTGGACCATTTTGAAATATTATCAAGATGAATTTGAAGGTTTTGGTATGCTGTTGTGGAATCGGAATGGGATGAGAGGATTGCCGTGTCGTCGGCGTAAGTGGCTATCAGTGTATTTTCGGAGTTGGGAATGTCAGCTGTGTAAATGTTGTAGAGGTCTGGTGATAAATCACTTCCTTGAGGTACTCCTGCTAAGATTTGGAATTGTGATGAGAGGGAGTCTCCTTGGCGGACGAGAAATGAGCGGTTTTGTAGGTATGATTTAGTCAACAAGTAGAGTGGAGTCGGGAGGAACATTTTTAGCTTAAAGAGTAATCCGGTGTGCCAGACACGGTCGAACGCTTGTGATACGTCTAAGAATACTCCCGGACAGAAGTTTTTGAGCTCAAACGACGAGGCTATTTTGTCGACAATTCGGTGGATCTGGTGGGTTGTGGAGTGGTTTTCTCTGAAACCAAATTGGGTATTTGGAATAATTTTGTGGGACTTGAGAATGGGTCTAATTCGTTTAAGCATCACTTTTTCAAATAATTTCCCTAATACTGGTAACAGGCTAATTGGTCTGTATGAGGAGGGTTCATTTTTTGGTTTGTTGGGTTTATGTATAAGGATAATTACAGATAGTTTCCAGATTAACGGAAAGTAGGACATTCTCAACATAGAATTGTAAATGTATGTGAGAAGAATTATTGATTTTTTAGGAAGATGTTGAAGTATTTTATTTGTTATTTGGTCATGTCCAGGTGATTTTTTGATTTTTAACTTTTGTATTAAGTTTTTTATTTCTCTGGGAGATGTGTGTTTGGTAGGGAGTGACATTGGTAGCGGGCTAGTAAGGAAGTTTGTAATTTGGTTTAAGTGACTTGGTTCGGGAATTATATCGTGATGAGGAGTAAATATTTCGGATAGGTGTTTACCAAAAGTGTTTGCTTTATCAATATCTGAGAAGGCTAAGGTACCGTCTGTTTTTTTTAAATGGAAGGGATGATCTTTTATTTTTAAAATATTTTTGGTGGTTCTCCATAAGGATCCATCTTTAGAACATAAGGACTCGTATTTGTGTTCGAATAACTCGGATTTGTGGATTCGAATTTTTGTTTTTATGGTATTGGACAGGTGATTGTATCTTTTTTTGTCGGATGGTAGTCTGGTGTATTGCCAACGTGAGCGTGCACGACGCTTTTCGATAATTAGGGCTTTTATGTTGGGAGGTAAATCATATTGATTTGAATTTGGTGGTTTGTTTGGATTAGGAGTATAAGATGAGTTGGAGATCGCTGCTCTTATTGAGTTGACAAAGTCTTGAGACGCTATTTCAATTTCACTGGTGTTTTTTAGAGAGATTTTTAAGTTTGTGTTGTTTTCTAAGATGGTGGAGAATTTTTCCCAGTTGACAGGACCTTTTACGAGGGAGGGCCGGGGAGGTTTGCAGGTCATTGAGCCGTTTATTTCAAGGATGACTGGAGTATGATCTGATGAAATTTCACAACTATTTTGAATTTTGTGTCTTATGTGTTTTGGAATTGAGGTGAGAAAGAAGTCTAGTATGTCAGGCTGACGATTTGTGTGAGTAGGCCAGTAGGTTGGACAGCTTGGAGATATAAAAGAGCCGCCTAGTTTTTGAATGTTGTCAAGAAATAATCTCCCTCGAGAGTTTGTCAATCTGCTACCCCATTGTGTGTTCTTAGCGTTGAAATCGCCACCGGCGATAAATGAGCGCCCGAGTGACTTTAAGAATTTTTCAATTTGAGGGGGCGTTATTGCCGGTAGAGGAGGGCAGTAAACAGAGGATAGTGTAGTTGGAATATGATTTAGTACGATTTGGATATTCGTTGCTTGTATTGATGGCAGTTGGAGGCTTTGAAGTGGATAATGTTGGATTTGGTTTGAAACTAAGATGGCGGATCCCGCGTGGGCGGTTCCGTCAGGGTGGTCGGCTCTGTAAACTTGGAACCCAGGGAAAAAGTGATTAGTATTGGAAGTGTAGTGAGTTTCCGTTATTAGTGCAATGTCAATTTTACTTTGTATTAAAAGGTGTAGTAATTCAGGTTCGTTTTGTTTTAAACCGTTTGCGTTCCATAGTATAATTTTTAAAGACTTAGTATTGGAGGGATTAGTACTCATCATTTGAAATTAATTTGTTGATTACTGTGGTGAGCAATTGGATTAGCGGGTTGATTAGTAACTTCATTTCAGTTAAAAATGTGGACATTAGTTTTACTATGTTATTTTCTTGCGTGGGATTGTGTGTTTCACGTTGTGAGTACTTTGTTTTTGGGTGTGTTTCAGGAGGGGGTTTATTGGGAAGAGGGGGGAATGCATTTAAGTCTTGTGTGATTGGTGTAGTCAGGGGAGTGTCCACACTGGGGTCCTGACCCGAGCTTACATTGTTAGCATAAGTTACATTGTTAATTTTAGATTTAGAATTTTTAAAGAACAGACTTGAATTTCGATGTAAACGCTGGAGATTTTTGTGTGAAGTGCATCCACGGTAGCTGGCGGTGTGGTTGCCTCCGCATAAGGTGCATGTTGGTGGCTGGTCTTTGGGCTGGGTGCAATTGGCGGTTAGGTGCTGTCCTACGCAACGAACACATCTTGGTGGGTGGGCGCAGTAGGTTTTTGAGTGGCCGTAGTCTTGACAGTTTGTGCATTGGATAAGCTCGCGCCGTTTGTGAGGTTCTTCGACTGATATTTTGGTATGAAGTAAGTTTTTTAGGTGAAAAATGTCATTGTTGATTTCTGCAGGATCGAGATCAACGAAAAACAATGGTAATGGTTGTCTAGAGGTCTTGTGAAAAACGTTACTGACGTTGCGAACTGTGTAGCCAATTTCAGTAATGGCTATTCCGATCTCAGAAGTTGGTGTGGATGGATGGAGGTTACGTACTACGATTCGGAAAGCTCTATCTTCACGAGCCTGATACGTGTGATGTTCAATTTGTTTTTCTTTGAGATATCTGATGACCTTTCGGTATGCAACAGAATCTTTAGTTACAATTTTTAGATTTTTCGAGGTTGATTTAAATGAGAAATTTGTAGTGCCAATCAGATCAATAAGGTCCGTGCGCAGCTTGATAAAATTTTTAATGTTGCTGACAAAAATAGGTGGAGGTGCTGGGATTTGTTGGACTTCGTCAGTTTCAGTATTGTATGACGTTGGTTGAGTTGGAGCTGAGTGGTTTGAAGTGAGTTCGGAAGCTGTAGTAGCAGGTGAGATAGGAGCAAACCTATTTTCTGTAACAAACTGGACCTGTTGTTTTTTTTTGACGTTTTCGGTGAGGTGGAGCTTGACGAGAGAAGTAATGCACGTTTTAACTTGGATTTTTCATTTTTTTTAGAGGATTTGACTTGAAAATCAGAATCGTCATTTGGCTCTAAATCCATATCGGAGTCGTTTTCAAATGCATCACTTGACACACTCTGTATACGGCTCATGATTGAGGATTATAGATAACGAGTTCAGCTAGTGACCGTGCGGGTATTTGAATAGATCGACCACCGCCGGCTGGGCCGGGGGAGATCGGGGTGTGTTGTGTCGATAAGATTAATTGAGTGCTTATCAGTGTAAGGAAAGTTTGTGTAATAACAATAGAATTACGGTAAAGTAATTATATTTACCAATTTTTTCCGTTTTTTGAGACTGGATAAAGATTAGGTGTGCAGAGTGGTAAACAGTGAAATCAGAATTTTCACAACGGTTAAAACGGTACAACACATAAGGATGTAGTGTAGATAGAAACTGTCGGATTGAATAAAAACACTGAGTAACCAATGCGCACATGTGACACGGACGACGGACGTCGCTGAACTGATTTAAAAATTAAAATATGTTAATACAATTATAATAATATGTACATAACCATATTATAGACGTGCTCACTGGGGACTTTCTGGTCTTAAACTAGATTCACTTTCCTACCAGAATAGATGCTAATGTAGAAAATCGAAACATTTTCACAGCCCCAAAAGGACAGAAACAAAAAGCACACACACACCCACATATACATCATTGTAAAACCGATACATTCATTACTCCGCTAAGAATCTAAAATTTAAAAGTTAATGATTTTCTTTACAGATTGTATACCATAAGTAAATTTAGTAACAACCATATTTGATGTCTTTTAAACCAAAATGTAATGTGTCTTTTTTGTAATATAATATGTCACTATGATTTCTGGATTATGACCATGGTTTGTAAATAAGTATAAAAGATTGCCTACATAATTTTTTACTATACAAATAAAATAATATAACAGAGTAAAATTACCCAAGATTACTAATTATTTTCAATCATTAATTTTTTTATACCTACATTATGATATTCTCGACATTTTTAAAAATATAACATTTTAATGACCTTTAAGATTTTATAAAATATATTATATTGCTTACATTGTTTTATAATTTGAATGTATTATAAATTAATTAGACATGTATCTTTTTTTTATATTCTTATAGGTGTATGCCAAAATATATGTGCAAATTATAATACGTTACCAGTCGCGGTAGCAGGGTTTTATTGGATACATAATATCCTATTCTACGCTTTATTTCGAGAACTGGTTTTTGTTTACGATGGCTTAACATCTACATCCATAGTAATTATAATAACATTTTTAAATATTAAACAAAATCCTTAGTGGTGAAAAAAAATTGTCTGGGTGATCATGAATTCATAAAAAAATACAAACATAAAGTAGGTAGGTACCTACCTACTAATGAATATTTTGTATTACCTATCTCCTTTTTAATTGATAACTGAACTTCCCCGAACACACTTCAACATTTTTCGTTCCATTTTATCATTGCATTTTTTTACATGTAGGTATATGTCTTTGAATCATTATAATATATACTATACGATATGTCGGTAGTGAATTAATTATAACTTATAAGTTAGTAACAATCATAAACCTATATTAACTAAATTAGTTATAGGTCTATGGTAACTATAATGTATAAGTAATATATGATAATAATTAATAATTACAGGTAAGTAACGCTTTGTTTATCACCATACTAACGAATAAAATATAATACTATTATCTATTACAGCCTGAAGTTGAATTAATATAACAATATACAATATCCAGACTGACAACCCGTCTCCTCTCAGAATCGTTTTTCTAATACGATGATATTATATCATTGAATTCAAGTGTAATACAATCCATTATACATGGACCCACTTGTAACCTACTGTACACTGTACGGCAGAGCGTCATCCACTATTACCCTCTTTTTAATGATTCTTTTATTATAATTTTCGTTGTTTCGATATTTTTGGTAAAAATTAGTTCAATAGAATTGTATATCAGAGTATAACCAATAGAAAAAAACATACTAATAGTTATATTAATGAATTACAAAATGACAATGAAATATAGGTTGAGATTTGTGATGTGTTTACGACTTTACGTACCGATTCGTTTTTCGTATGCATTCGCAGTGATTTATAATTCAGTAGGTACGCATTTAACACATCTATTACACTAATCTATAGGTAGGTACACTCAAATTCTTTCATACATCAAAGTGAAATCTTTATTTATTGTTTTCTGTTGTTGATTAAACTAAGAATTATTATATTTATACTATATCACACGTTATTAGACAAATATTATTAGATTCTATTTATGTATTTTTAGAATAAAAGATTGCAATAATAAAATTATCAACAAATGTTGTTTTTAGCCCACTGATCGAAAAAAGTTGAAGACTTGGCTACTTTGTCATCAAGGTTGCTTAGGGATTTGCATTATATTCTTCATTGGACTGTTAATTACAGATCCTTCTGCAAATATTTTTAACCTTTTTTACTGTGCAATTACAAGTATTGGTAAGTATATTATTTAATTACAATTGCAATTAAAGCAAATTCATATGAAATGTTAATATTAAATGTTTTATAGGTATAATAACAGAGTTCAAGGTTGTCAAAAAGTTCAATAAAGAGTTTAAGATATTGTCAGAACACCGTCATAGAGATTTCCAGACTTCAAATATCTAAACTATTAGCAAATCGGGCACTATAATTGTCGTTTCAACAAATATGTTAAGTCGCTTTTTAAATTTTTAGTTTAAAATAAGTACTATAACAAAATACTTAATGATACAAAATATATATTATATTTTTATATTATACGAGTATGAAATTTGGGACGTCTCTCGATGTAAAGTTCCAAAAGCATCATATAGATAACTTCTTTTAAATACTAATAACATTATTGATTATCAATATTAGGTACCTATTTAAATATTTTGTTGCTATATATATTAAAATAATATAAGTATAAATATAAAATTATATGGATGAAGGACATTCTCTTATTTATATTAAAACTATAAATAATTATTATATGGTACCTAAACTAAAATAAATCATAATTTATAAAAAGATCTCGCATTTTTCACTTTTTAACTTATTTTTAGAATTAGGTTCCCTTAGTTTTTTTTTGTGACAATAACAATAGATAATGTGGCTTGGCGTGGTGTGCTGGTTGCTACTTGCTATACCAGTCGCGCAGTTTGACTGAGAGTAAGTACCGCCTGTTGCTACTAGTTCCGGATAGTTAATATTATTCTATATTAGGTACAATAAAAATAAAAGGAACTGAGTACATAATAAAATAACAAACCATTAATAAACTAATGTTATCAATCAACAATTATTAGATGAATATAACATTAAACAGTAACCACAATCAATTAAATTCATAAAAACCGAAATAATGAAATACCTATATTGCAAAATAAAACATTTAGTTCATAACTAGTTAATATTATGTAAACATAAGAAATATATGGCTGACACACTCAGTCAGACAAAATATTCGTAACTCCAACCACAACAGCACCGACAATTGAAGCACTTTATATTAATAATTATTAATTCACTTTATCAATCCTTAGTAAATCGCCTATGGTGTAAGGAGCTCAGACAATAGCTCCATACTCTAATACCGGACGTGCTAATGCGCAATAAAGCGCAGAGAGACACTTAGGGGAATTGAAACTCGCGGAATGTCATCTAATAAGAACACGAACGGATTTATTTACAATATAATGAATGTGAGGACGGAAGTCTAGAGATGGGACAAAGAGAAAATCTAAATCAATAATTTGGTCAACGCGATCAAGATGCAAACCATTAAGAGAGTAGTCAAATTTTATAAAATCCCTAGTCCGTTATAATGACATAGTTTTACACTTGCCAATATTAAGAGAAAGTCCAACAACCTCGCACCAAGATGAAAACTTATTCAAAATACTTTGAAGTATTTTACAGTCTTCTATGGACGACACTGCATGGAATATCTTAACACCATCGGAAAATAACAGAACCCGTGTTGGAGAAATTATTGAACGGACCGAGTTAATAAATACATTAAACAATAAGGGACCTAGGTGGCTGCCTTGGGGAACACCAGAGGGCACTTGGAATGGTTTGAATTTCATACCGAATAGAGAAACAAACTGTATGAGCTCGGAAAGGTAAGATCTCAGCCAGGTTAGGAGTGAATTCCTAGCCTATCTAAAATATAAATAAGTGTACCATGATCAATCGAATCGAAAGCTTTTGTAAAGTCGGTATAAGCTACATCAATTTGCTGATTTAACAAGAACGCATCATGTGCAGATGACACGAAATCAATGACACTAGTAGATGTTGATCTGTTAGGAGAAAATCCATGCTGGTCAATCGATATTTTTGACAAGATTGGTCGTTGTATATGATTGAGTACAATAGATAATTTTCCCTAAAAAAGGTAGTTCAGATATGGGTCGATAATTAGAAACGTCAGTAGGGTCAACCGATTTTAGTATTGGCGTAACACGACTATATTTCCAGATGGAGGGAAAGACTCACTTTGAAAGGGATTAATTAAAGATCGAATAGATCAGTGAAGCGAGAGTGTCTCTACAGCGATACAAAAAGATGGCAGAGATACCATTGGGGCCGGAACCCCGAGTGGTAGAGAGCAATTGAAGAGCAGCGAGAATCTCTTCAAGGGTAAACGACAATGAAGACGGGAGAAACTAAAATTGCTTTGGAAACTGGAGTAATCGGATCCAACTATGTTGAAGATACTATTCGGGGTTTATTATAAACTGAGGAAAAATACGAGACAAATAAATCTGATATTAATCATATTCATCCTGATACTCCGACTCCAATGCTCTTAAAGAGGGATTAACCTCAAATATATAAGCAAACAAAAGAAATGAACATATCTGAATAAAATATATAAACCAATAATATCAACAAATAAACGTTCATAAAGTTATAAAGTTATACACATGTCATATAAAATGTAGCTTGCAATAATATGCATATAAAAACACTAACAAATATTATAATCCAAAGCGTTCTTAATCCTTCCACAACGTCAAATCCAATATATCCTTACATAATACCATTAATACCATAC